CTGCTCCCTGCCTCTCTCCCTGCCAGGCCTTCCCCTCATAGTTCATCCTAGGGAAACCTTGAAATGCTCAGGTTCACTGGAGAGTCAGGGTGGTGGTAGAAAGGGGGTGGGTGCCAAGGAGGGGCTCATTGGGAGCCCCCTTTTCACCTGGTGTCCCCTGTCTCCAGGAAGCCCATGGCAGGCAGGTGTGGCAGGAGTTGACAGGAGGCCCTGGTGAGGGAGGCAGGTGTTCAGGCAAGGCGGCTAATTCCCAGGGCTTGGGCCCATCAGCCTAAGCAGCTCTGCTTCCAGAATCACTGCCTGTCCACAGAATCACTGTCCCTGTACCCACAGGCCCCAAGGCGGGGGACTACACCTACCGCGAGGGACTTGAACACAAGTGCAAACGGGACATCCTGCTCGGCCGGCTCCGGAGCTCTGAGGACCAGACCTGGAAGCGGATCCGGCCCCGGCCCACCAAGACCAGCTTCGTGGGCTCCTACTACCTGTGCAAAGGTGGGTGTGCTGCCACAGGGCAGGCACCCACCGGGGCCCGGCTCTTCTCCTGCCTGACTGCTGCTCTGCCCGTCACTACAGGTAGACAGAGCAAGCGTGGTCCACGAGGATGAGTCCAGCACTAGAATGAGAACCTCTGTCCCTGAACAGCAATGTAGACAGGCAGGGACAGGCGGGACGTTACATTCGTTGGAGCTGGAGCCCCTACTGTGGCCTGTGCTCTCGGATGGAAGGATCAGACACGTCGTGGGGGGCTGGTTTCTGTTACTGCTACAGGGCCCCGCAGGGCTGTTGAAGGGATGCGGAGAACCTGTGTTTGGTGTTCAAGACTGGCACATTGTAAGGGCTTGATACGTATGAGCTTTTAAAGCTTTTTATGTCATCATTGTCCTCACATCTGGCTCGTGCCAATTGGTCCATATTTAAGGGACATTTTCACTTGCTTTCTTCATCCCGCACACAGCATCTGGTGCAGTCTACATGCAGTGCCGGAAAAGCCACACTGCTGTTAAGTACTTTATAGTGTCTCCCTTCTGTGCCCACCAAGATGCATCCTCACAACTGGGTGAGGAAACTGAGGCTCTGGGAGCCCTGCCCAGGCTCTGCCTTGTTCCCTGACCCAGCCTGTGGCAGGAGCCCACCCGGGCCTTCTGGACCAGCTCATTGTCCTCCCCGTGGGACACTGAGGACATGTTGCTTCTTGGCCCAAACGCCACTGTCAGCCATCCCCTGGCCAGCGTGGATGAAGTCCAGATCCTAGGCCTGCAAGTCCCTTGACCATACATTGAACCTGACTCCTGCATACGCTGTGCCCTTTGTACTTGGTCATCCTGTGCCCCTGCTTCTGCAGGGCCTGGGTCTTAGGCAGCCCTGTGGGGAAGGTGCAGGGCTGGTTTCCGCCTGGAGCAGTCTGTGGTGATCACCCGGGCGTCCGGCTGCTCCTCCGTGTGTGCCTGCAGCTTGGTGGAGGGATGGGATGGGGCCAGCTCAGTGTGGGGGAGGGGAAGGAAGAAACAGTCCCCCCACACACACCCTACCCCCCCGGGAGTGACAGCTCTGCATGATGAGGCTGCTCCCATCCTAGCTCCCAGGCCCCTAGGAGTTTCATTTATTTTTCACTTAATACCCCAGAACCTGGTGTTCTCCATTTATGGCAGAGACAGCTTAGGAATTACAAGACTCCAGGCCCTTAACCAGTGGCATTGTCTCCGTCTTGTACACGTCTACAAAGCCCTGTTCATGCCTCCTCATGCCTGAGCCACACGAGGCAGCCTGTGGGGTGGTGGGGCCGGAATGACTGCCGTGCTTCACCACTGCTCACCCAAAGGTGCAGGCGAAGAAGGGGCCTGGCCCAAGAGGGGCTCTTTCCCCAAACTGCCCAAAGGCCCCATGGTTGGCAGACCACCACCCCACCACCCTACTGTGTTGGAGACAGGCCCAAGGCCCCCGGCGGACCGCACGCCCTGCCAGCCGCAGCAGTGCTTATGGGCGCTGTCGGCTGCACCCTGCCTAGCTGCCCGTGTGTCCTGTCGCCTCTTTGCAGACATGATTAACAAGCAGGACTGTAAGTACGGGGATAGCTGCACCTTCGCCTACCACCAGGAGGAGATCGACGTGTGGACCGAGGAGCGCAAGGGCACCCTCAACCGTGACCTGCTCTTTGACCCGCTGGGCGGCGTCAAGCGCGGCAGCCTCACCATCGCCAAGCTCCTTAAGGAGCACCAGGGCATCTTCACTTTCCTCTGTGAGGTACCCGCCCCCCCCTCCACGGTGTTGGCACAGATGGAGCTGGGGAAGGGGGCTCCTTGGTGCACTGCACTGTAGAAGGCCTGCCCTGGCGCCTTCTTCTGTGGGTTTTGGAGGCCTGACATAGGTCCTTGGGCTGTCAGAAAGCTAGGCACATAGGGCCTTTGTCATTCTAGAGCCCAGGTCTTATCCATCTGCCTCATTCCATTGGGTTAGAAACTGAGGCCAGAAAGAGATATGCACCCTGCCCTCCCCTTACGGCTCTCACAGGCTCGGCCCACTTCTCTGCCTGTATCCAGGCTGTGCCCTCTGCCTGGAGGGCCCTCCCTGGGCTTCTGCCTCTCAGACCCTCTGAGACTCAGCTCTGATCCCAGCAGCTCCACCAAGCTATTAATCAATCCTTCCCCAGAGCTGTCACAGAAGACCCTACTGGCCTCCTGTGTCCCCACCCAGTCGTAGCATAACGAGGGCAAGGACAGTGTCAGGCCCACCTGTGTGGAGTGAGAGCTCTGGGTCCAGGCTGCTGCCAGGGTTTGGTGCAGCTCAGCCCCACCCCATCCAGCATACAGCCAGCCCTTCCCTCCATCTCTTAGAGCAGATGGACTGCCTGCTCCCTCCCGGGAGCAGTCAGCCTGGGAATCACGCCACGACACTTTGCAAAGCACCTACAGTGTTGTTACATCCTTTCTGAGCTTCACAGTGAGCCTGCGGGGCAGAGCAGGTGTGGTTATCCCCCATTTACAGTTGAGAACACTAAGGTGCAGAGACATGGAGGGACCCCCTACCCCAGGCAGTAGGAGTGGTGGGACCAGAGAGGGGGCCAAGGTCCAGGTGGACCCGCGAGCTTGAAGCAGTGAGGCGGGGGCTTGCGGGGACCCAGTCTGTCCGTCCCTCCCTGGGCAGATCTGCTTCGACAGTAAACCCCGGATCATCAGCAAAGGCACCAAGGACTCTCCGTCTGTCTGCTCCAACCTGGCCGCCAAGCACAGCTTCTACAGCAACAAGTGAGTGGGGCCTCCAGTCCGGGCCCGCGGTGCAGGCGGGTGGACAGCTCCCCCCGGGGCAGGTCAGATGCCGGGAGCAGCTGAGGCCAGAGGGTGGGCCTAGGGTGTCAGGACAAGGGGCAGAATATGAGACTCAGGTTGAACATCTACCTTGAAAGGACACAACCACATTCATTGAGCATCTACTATATTCGTGCGGGGGGTGCCTTTGCAGAAGCCAGGCCCAGCACCCACCCTTGCTCCCTGACCCCTCTTGGCTCCGTGTGATGATGGAGCCTAGGCCCTCGTGGCAGACAGAGCTGGGTCCAAATCCCAGCCTTGGTCAATGGCCTGTTTTATGTGCTCTGGCCACTGTAACCCTTGGTTTCCTCATCTGTAAAATTGGCTTCCTCATCTGTAAAGATCTCAGTCTCCTAGGGTTGCTGTGAGGTAATCAAAATTCCTGGCCCAGAGGAGGTGCTCCACTGTTGTTCTTCTGGGTGCAGGACCAGCTTTGGAGCAGTGTGCTGGGGAACCAGATGGAAATGCCCCTTCTCCCAGCCACAGGCACCCCCTCATCCCAGCCTTGTAGCAGGGGTCTGGTGCCCTCCCCCTGGCACCTCCATCTTTGAGCTGGTCTGAGATTAAGGCCAGAAGAGGGGTACACAGCTGGGACTCAAACCCAGGACTGCCTGAGTATAAGACCCCCGCCTCTTACCTACTGTGTAATCGTGTCCTAGAAACTGTTAGTAGGGCAGGAGCACCTGGGGAGAAGCCTCTGCCCGCAGGCCTGCCAGCCTGGGGAGAGTAGCCCTCCCAGGAGCCCAGGAGTGGCCGGAGGCTGCACACTGCTTTGTGGTCCAACCCCTGCCCACCAGGTGCCTGGTGCACATCGTCCGCTCCACCTCCCTCAAGTACTCCAAGATCCGCCAGTTCCAGGAGCACTTCCAGTTCGACGTGTGCCGCCACGAGGTGCGCTATGGCTGCCTGCGGGAAGACAGCTGCCACTTTGCCCACAGCTTCATCGAGCTCAAGGTCTGGCTGCTGCAGCAGTACTCAGGTGAGATGCTGGTGGGCGCAGGCGTGGGAGCGGCGTGAGATGGGCTGCGGTGGGTGGGCCGCTGGCACAGGAGGTGGGGGCTTCCGGACTTGGCAGAGCAGTCCTGGGGGTGCGGGGGGTGCCTTTGCAGAAGCCAGGGCTTCCTAGCCATCACAAAGGAGCAAAGGCTATGCTTGTGGGGAGCTGCCAGGCTCCAAAGAACCTGGGTTCATCCCTATCCAGGCATTGCCAGGGGTACACGGTGGAGAAGGGAGAGGCGGGCAGAGCGGCCCCTGGGTGGTTGGCATCAGGTCACCTCCCCGTGAGCCTCCGCCAACTCCTCTGTGGAGTGGTGGCCATAACTTGTGCCTCAGTTGAAGAGATTCAGAGATACTCACTCACCGGCTCAGGTACAGGGGCTCATGGAGCGCCCGCTCTGTCAGGGCTTGAGGTCCTTGTTCCCAGAGGACACGTGGTGTCTGTAAGTGAAGGCAAGGCAGTCAGTATACCCCACACCTAGTGATATGTCCCGTACTCTGTCCGTGCTAGGATGTGCATGCTTTGCCCCACTGCATGTCCTGATTTAATCAGCAACTTGGAAATCTGTGTGTCTGACGATCCATGTTAGGAAGTTGCAGTTGATGACACAGGGTAGCTGAATTCCAGATGTGTGTTGGTGCAGTGAGGACAGCAGAGCAGAGCACTGGGTTGGAGAGGGACTCGGGGCGGGGCCCTTGGGGTAGGATGGCTGGGGAAGGCCTCTGAGGAGGTGGCATTTGAGCAAGGAGAGGCAGGGAGAGCACTCCAGGCAGGAGGAGCAAGGCTGGAGGCCCTGGTGTAGGGACAAGCTGGGGACAGAAAGACCGGCGGGGAGGGCTGGGCAGTTAATGCGTGGGGAGAGGTCAGAGATGAGGCCTGAGGGTCCACAGTGCCCTGAGCATGTCAAAGTCTCTGGGTAATACCTGGAAATAGTTGAAACTGTTCTAATTACCATATACAGGGTCTAGAGAATTTAAGTGGGTTGAGTTGTATGATCTGATCAGTACTTTAAAAAAGTCGTTCTTTCTGCTGGGTGGAGAATAGAGGGTCAATGGCAGGTGGAGGGAGACCAGGGAGGTTGTGGCTCAGGCCAGGGTGGCAACAGTGGAGGTGGAGGAATGGTCAGATGCTGGGTGCATTTTGGTGGTAGAACCACCAGGAGTTGTTGATGGAGCAGATACAAAGTGAGACGAAGGGCAGTGTCCAAGTCAACTCCAGGGTCTTTGACCAGAGTGTCTGAGCAAAGGGAGGCCATGGGAGAGCAGGCCTGGGAGATCACATCAGGGCTGAGTGTGGGCTGGGGCAGTCGGAGCTACCTGTTGGATCTCACGTGACCACGTCAGGCAGGCAGCCGGCTGTGGAAGCCTGGAAGTTCATGGGAGAGGTCTGGGCTGGAGATACACATTTGGCCATCATCAGCAGGAAAGCAGATGTCAAGTACAGTGCCTGGCGCCGAGTAAGCCCCTGATGACAAGTGGCAGCTGTGGAACAGTATCCATAGGACAGCGTCAAAAACAAAATCCATTCTGGGGATGGGACTAGAAGGCTCAAGGGGGTCGGGGGTGGGGGGGCAGGCTTCACGGAATAGGCTCCAAGCTCCATCTGGGAAGGTGGGCACAGGGTCAACAGTCACACTGGGAGGGTGTGGGCCACCAGGCTCAGGTGTTTGCCCTTTGCTGACTGGCCGTGAAGCGCCTTGGCCCCTTGGTGAGGCTGGCTGGACCAGGCACCACTGGGCTAGAGGCTGTCAAGTGGGGATCAGGCCTGAGGCCTCATTGAGGGATGAGGGGGTCAAGGAAGGGTGCTGAGCATCTGGCCCAAGAGACAGGAACGCTGGCCTGGGGTCAGGGGTGTCCCCATGCCACATTGCAGAGCTAGCATCTTTCTCCTGCATTTTCCAATTCCTGGCCACATTTTGTTCTCTCAATCCCAATAAGGGCTCAGGGTAGGCTGCTGCCCCCAGTCCCAGAAGGATCAGCAGGCCCCGAGAGGATGAGCGGTTTGCCTGCGCCACACATCTTTTCCATGGCAGGGCCTGGTGCGGATGGGGCTCCTTCCCTGGACCTGGCAGGGGCCTGGCACCTCTCAGGACCTCTGCCCTTCTCCTCACTGAGCTCCTTCAGGGACGCCACGTCTCCTTCCACCTTCCCCAGGTATGACCCACGAAGACATTGTCCAGGAATCCAAGAAATACTGGCAGCAGATGGAGGCCCACACAGGGAAGGCCAGCAGCAGCTTGGTAAGACCCTGGTTTGGTGTTGGAGGTGGGATCATTACATCCCACTTGGGCATATTTTTAGATTTACCAGAAAATTGTAAGAATTGTACAAAGAATTAATGTACACCACCTTTTGGATTCCTCGGATGTTAATGTTTCACCACATTCCCCACTTACTTTGTCCTATGTATGTGTGTGTGTACACATGTATATATTTATATGCAGAAATATACACACTTTTTCCAAAACCATTTGAGAGTAAGTTGTAGACATGATGCCCCATCACCAGTAAATCCTTCAGAATGTATTTCCTAAAAGTAAGGATGCTCTGTTACATGATAACCACAGTATAATTTTCAACATCACAGAATTGACATTGATGTAATTGTTCTGATTATGGTTTACTATTATTCAGATTTTGGAATCGTCCCTAAATCCTGGGTGACAGGCTGAGTTCATTTATTGTGTCTCTGTGGCCTCTCTTGCCTAGAGCAGTTCGTCAGTGTCTTTCATGACACTGATATTTTCAAAGAGCCAGTTGCTCACAAAGGTCCACCCACTGGGATTGTCTGATGGTTCCTCGAACACAGAGGTGATGTTAATGTTCCTCTCAGTTTGCTCATTGGGAGGCACAGCTTCTTGGTTTGTCCCTTCGCTTGTGATAACTTGATGGCTTGAACAAAGGTGCCTTTACACTATAAAAGTTTCTCTACTGGGAAGTTCTATTTGTCTACTTTGTAATTAATATCTTCTGGGGAGATGCCTTGAGGCCATGTAAATATCCTGGTAGTCCTCAGACTTGTCACCCACTGATCCCTTCCCTCTTGGTCCCCACCCTGGTCCTGAAGAAGTGAGCTGGGGCATTCTGGCATTTTCAGATGGGGAAACCGAGGCTCAGAGCATGCCAGGGGCACACTTAGTGGAGTAAATCCCAGGTTCTCTGACATCACATCTAGAGTTCTCTCCGCTCCCTCCCTACCCTGCACCACACCTGTCACCCCTGAGAGCTCCTCATCCGTCAAGTGGGGATCATTCTCCTGCCTGGCAGCTCTCAGGGTAGGTGTGAGGCTCGGGAAGCCGAGCAAGCTGCAGTGTGCTGAGACCCTGCTCTGCACAGGGCCCCTGTCTCCTGGTCCTCCCGTCACCCCCTGGGGGCAGGGCTCATCGTAACCTTGGATTATGGTAGGGACAGAAGGGGTGGTCTCAGGGCCCAGGAGATAACGAGTGTGAGGCAAGGCCTCCATGCCGTCCACCTGTGAAGGACAACCCCCTCACCGTGCCAGGCTCAGCTGCTGGTAAACTTGGGAGAGGCCCTCTTAAGGTGGGCCCAGAGTGGCAGTGAGCCAAGGAGCACAGCGGGCTGGCAGGCGTGGGGGGCCTGGGCCGGCCAGGGAGGCAGGGCTGCCCCTTGTTCCTCATCCTTTTTCTTTCCCATCCCACTCTGTCCCTTCCCTCTTCTGTCTGTCCCCTCCAGTCACCCCTCCTCTGTCCTCTCCTGTGCAGTCCTCTCTTCCCCTTCCCCTCCCCCACTGTGGCTTATTTTCGCTCCTAGCCTGGCTGGGAAGCAGTGAGGAGTTCAGCCTGGACCTGCAGCATAGTCACCTAAGCAAGAACACTAAGTACTCACCGGCCCCTCTGACCCCCCTCATCCTGCCCAAGGCTGCTGCCAGGATCCCCAGGAATGGGTGCAAGCCCAGCTGCCTGCAGGGGCCACGGCAGGCTTCAACCCCCCTCTTGCTGCCAAGGGCCCCACCCTGCCCACCCAAGGTGCCATTCTGGGCCTGCTTAGGAATAGGGCTTCTATGCCAGGCCTGATCGCGACCCTGGCATGAGGCGTCTTGCTTGCCATCCCAGGACGGGGCCAGTGCACTGCAAGGGTTTAGACAGGACACCAGGCTAGAAGCTACTCTGGCCCAGTGCCCATGGTGCAGCTGTGCCATCCACAGAGAAGTATGAGCACCTACCTCATGGCAGGTTCCTGTCCTCAGGCCACTCAACCTGCAGATGGGTTAGTGACCTCTCTGAGCCTCTGCTTCTGCTGAAGTGGAACGATCTCACCTGCCCCCAGGGCTGTGGCAAGGAGCTGGTGAGACTGCAGTGTGCAAAGGGAAGCTCAGCGGATGGGCATGGCTGCCACGCCCCCTCTGGGCCCCTCCTAACTCACCTGCGAAATGGGTCCTCATACTTGGGAGAATCCGTGGAACACCTAGAAATCAATCATGGTGCAGATAAACCTCCAGCATGCTCTAGTACAGGCCGTGTGCCAGCTACTAAGGTGTGATTTTACCTCATTATTGGGATGGTATGTGTTATCCTGGGGCCAAGCCAGGCTGGGGGTTCCCAGCACCAGGCCAGAAATCAGTCGACACATAAGGACAGAGCCCCTTCCTGCTCCAGGGCAAGCTGGGCTGGGCAGGACTGGGGACACAGGCCACCCATGGTGGGGGACACGTACCCACCAGCCCAGAAGAGAGGGCTACCCAGAGGGAACCTCACATCTGAGGTTCCAGGGAGGACAGGGAGGCCCTAACTAAAAGGAGGGAGAACAGATTGGCCAACATAGCGGGGTGAGGGGGTTGAAGGAGACAAGGCTGGTTTTCCCGCCTCTTGCCGCCCAGCCTGCCCCATGGGTGCAGAAGAGCAGGCTCTTCTGCCTGCAGAGGAAGGGCTGAGGCAGGGGACAGGGAATGAGCCTGGTGGGGACTGAGGGGGTCCAGGGCTGCCCAGAAGTCTGGGCCACCACCTGAGGCAGGCCCCTCCGCCCCTTCCCACCGTCTGCACCCTGCTCTCCACCAGGCCCAGCCCTCATAACTAGATGTGTTCATTAGCATGAGGCAGTTCGGGCACCGTGGGAGCTTGTAGGACGGGCAGCTGCCACGTAGGAGAGCTCCAGGGAAGGCTTCCAGAGGGAGGAGGTACTGGAGCTGAGTTTTGAAAGTTTCTAGAACAAGGCTGATAAAGAACAGGAAGGGCAGTCTAGGCAGAGGAACAGTCTGTGCAGGAGCTGGGAGGTCTGAGGTCAGGGAGACGCTGGCAGCTCCACGGAGCAGGCCCACGCGGACCAGCCAGATGAGGAGAAGGGCGTCCAATTGGAAGGCAGGGGCCCCATCCCAGCCCTGGCTCCTGTGCTGAGAACCCTGGAGTTAGGGGGTCATTTCTCACCAGCAAATGATAACATCCAGTCCATCCCGAGGCGCTGGGCAGCCCTCATGCTCCCGGAAGCCACCTGCCTCCCAGACCCCAGGGCCTCAGTTCTGCGCCTGTGGCTTCATAAGCTCCTTTCCCTGACAGGGTACCCCACGGACACACGGGCCCAGCACCTTTGACCTGCAGATGAAGTTTGTGTGTGGCCAGTGCTGGAGGAACGGGCAAGTGGTGGAACCCGACAAAGACCTCAAGTACTGCAGTGCCAAGGCCCGGCACTGGTGAGCCAGGCATGGCGTGGGCATGGGTGGGCAGAGTGGGGCCCACCAGAGCACCACGGGGAGGAAGCTGGGGCTCTCCTTAGAAGTCACACAGCCCAAGGCTCTGCTCTGAACCCTCTCCAACCAACCCCCTGCTCTGTCCTGCAGCTGGACCAAGGAACGGCGGGTCCTTCTGGTGATGTCCAAGGCCAAGAGGAAATGGGTGTCAGTGAGGCCACTGCCATCCATTCGAAACTTCCCACAGCAATACGACGTGAGTGCCGGGGGTAGGGCATGGGGTGGCAGTGGGACCTCAGACGTGGGGACTGTGGGGCCCTGGGACAGCTGGCCCGCTGGCTAGGGCAGTTACACAAGCCAGTGGGACTTAGCCAGCCCTCCCCATGCCCACTCCACAGCTCTGCATCCATGCGCAAAATGGCCGCAAGTGCCAGTATGTGGGCAACTGCTCCTTTGCACACAGCCCAGAGGAGAGGGACATGTGGACCTTCATGAAGGAGAACAAGAGTGAGTGGGCAGCCGGGCTAGGGGAGCTGGCCTGGGGGTTCCTCCTGGGTCAGTGCCCTCTCTGGGTCTTCTGTGGTGACTGGGCAGCCCAGCAGTAGGGGCCCCAGTCCAGCAGGGGCCATAGGGCAGAATGGATGGAGAACCCCTCTCACCAGGCACCCTGTCCCCTGTTTCCCACCAGTCCTAGACATGCAGCAGACCTATGACATGTGGCTGAAGAAACACAACCCAGGGAAGCCGGGGGAAGGGACCCCAATCAGTTCTCGGGAAGGGGAGAAACAGATCCAGATGCCCACAGACTACGCGGACATCATGGTAACAGCCCACGAGTGCTCAGCACCTGAGTGCCTGGGAAGGGGGTGGGGGCAGGGGTGGGGCGGTCTCCCACAGCAGCTGTACCCCCAGATGGGCTACCACTGCTGGCTCTGCGGCAAGAACAGCAACAGCAAGAAACAGTGGCAGCAGCATATCCAGTCTGAGAAGCACAAAGAGAAGGTCTTCACATCCGACAGCGACACCAGTGGCTGGGCCTACCGCTTCCCCATGGGCGAGTTCCGGCTCTGCGACAGGTGCCCGGGCACACGGGGGTGCTGGGCCCACAACCTGGAGGCCAAGGCTAGCTGGGCAAGCCTGGGCTTGGGGGTGCACACGGGGCAGCATGTCCCGGGGCAGCTGCTCCCAGGCATAAGGGCCACAGGGAGCCAGGCGGGGTGACTTTGGAGGGCTGGGCGCCTGCCTGCCCAGGTTCCCACTGGCAGTCCTGGGTCAGATCCGAGGGAAGGTTGGACGTGCTGGCTTTCACCAGGACCGAAGCTGCCTGGGAGAGGCTTGTCTAGGGGGAGGTTGAGCAGCCAGCCCAACGTCCAGCAGCTCGTGGTGGGCAGGGTGCAGGGTCTGGGCAGTGAGCCTCCTGCTGTCCACAGGCTCCAGAAGGGCAAGGCCTGCCCTGACGGGGACAAGTGCCGCTGCGCCCATGGGCAGGAGGAGCTCACCGAGTGGCTGGACCGGCGCGAGGTGCTGAAGCAGAAGCTGGCCAAGGCGCGCAAGGACATGCTTCTGTGCCCGCGGGATGACGACTTTGGCAAATACAACTTCCTGCTGCAAGAGAGCGGGGGCACCACTGGTGTCTCCCCAGAAGCCCCTGCTGCTTCCACTGTAACTGGGGAGTAAGGCCAGCTCCTGGCTGTGGGTAAAGTCCTAGGGTTGGGGAGTAGGGCTGGGGACAGAGGGCCTGATAGCAGGGTCAGGGCAAGCCAGGGCTGGGGGTTAGGGGCCGCCCTCGCCAGGCAGCCCCCGGCCCCCTAAGGCCCTATTCATCCTCTCTGCCCACCCTGCCCCAGTGTGCAGACCCAGGTGCACGTGCTGCAGCCCCAAGTGGTCCCAGGGTCCTCATCCTGCTGAAACCCTGGGCAGACCCTCCCCCACCCCCTCAGTTCTCATGATTGGTGAGGGAGGGGCTGGCTGACCCCTCCAGCTTCAGCCTATAGCTTTAACTTCTGTCTGCTCCTGAAGGGGGCCTGAAGCTCAGGGCTGGGGAGCCTGTGGTCCCCACTTGAATCTGCAGCAGGAAGGTCCCTCTCTTGCCCCACCCTCACCCACCCCCATCTCCTTGGGGGCAGATCAGGACACAGCAATGGGCAGGAGGCCCCAGTTAGCTTTAAATGCTCCCCCAGGATGGAGCTGGGGGCACTGTACTGGTCACTTACCTTCCGGGGCCTCAGTTTCCCCTCTTGTTGGAGTAGTGGAAGTTGGCTGAGCTATGTGATCCCTGGAGCCTGACTAAGGAGTCTGGCTCTCTCTAGTGAGGCCACCAGCCCAGCCCCTGCCCCTCATGGGCAACCGAATGTAGACTGTAGATCTCAGAGCCTTGAGAGATGACCCAGCCCAAACTCCCATTTTACAGATCAGAAAACTGAGGTCTAGAAAAGAGGAGTGATGCCCTGGCCCACAGGGTCTCCAGCCCATGGCATGAGGGAACTGGTGGGACACAAACTGGTCAAAAGACTCTGAGCACTTGTGAACTGGAGCCTCCAGGCTCTCAGTAGAGATGGGACGGCCTCCAAATCGGTGTACAGCTGGGGCCCCAGGGGCTGGGTAGGGAGGCGCAGGAGCTTGGTCTCATCAGTACCCTACAGAGGGAGAGTCCTTTCCTAGGGAGCATAGCAACAAAGGTTACTTCTCCACGCCTGCCCGGAGAAAGGTGGTGACAGGAAGGCACCCATGGACTCAGGTTCTGCATGAAGTACTGGGAGGGTAGGGATCACCGAATACGGAGAGAAGGGAGACTTGACCTGGGGCACCATGGGCCACTCCCGGCTGGGACACAGCCCCTCTTGGGAACCCAGCATAGTCCTATCTCCCTCATTTGCTAGACCCAGACATACAATTATGACCATGTGTCCCAGCCCCTCCCTAACCGCTGGCCCTGCCAGTTGCCTGGGATCCCAGCTGACCTCAAGTCCCTGCTCCCACCCACCAAGCCCTCACCCATCCCTCTCGTCTGATGTGTCCATGTGCACCCCCTCCTCTCCATTCCACCCACTGTGGGCAGACCCAGCCTCCCCTGGTTCCCTAGACATTCCAGAATGTCCCACACCATTGGCACAAGGAGTGGGCCCCCTCCCCAGGAGGAACCAGGGACCAAGGCTGAAGTTGGGGGTGGGAGGGTGAGATGGAAAGAATGGAATCCCCCTTATTTCTCCTCCTGCAAGGATTGATAGTGCGTGAGGATGTATGATGGGCACCCCGGGCCGCAGAGAACCCTGTTCCTCTTGCTGCCTCTGCCCAACCTTTTCCCAGTAATTGTGGCATGCATCCCTTCCTTTCCCTGCCCCCTTCCCCCAGCAGGCCAGCACTGCAGAGTTTGGGTGCTGGTGGTGTGGCTGGAGGGGAGAAGAGACCACACCCAAGGTTGGGGCCGTGGCTGTGAATGTCAGTGACACTTGTTTTCCCTGATCCATGGTGTTGCAGTCTGTTGTCACCAGCCTTGTTTTTAGTGTGTATATATGTCGCCCCCGTGATGCATATATACACAGGTATTAAATATATCGCTCTATATAATATTATATATGTGTGTGGTATCCAAGAAATCACTTCTAATGAGGGCTAAAGATAAAGAATTTGGCCAGAAAATGCAGCCATCCTGGTGTAATTAGGATGGATTTTCAGGGTTGTCAGGCTGTTTTCAAGGACTCAGGGCATGGAGCCATGGGTCAGCGGTAATTTGGGCAGTAGGGGTAGAAGTGGCTCCTGCCTGGGCCCAGCTCTGTCTGACAGCCTCCAGACCACCCCAGCCTAGTGGGCAGAGAGCAGGGGTGCTCAGGGAAAGAAAATATTGGTGTTTGTCTCCCACCCAAAGGAATAGGATTGGAGTCCAGATTTTTCTCCAACCTGTTATCCACCCAAGGGCCACTGGAATCTGGGGCTCCCCATCCTGGCCAGAGTGGGATCTCCACAGAGTTGCAAAGAAACAAGCGGCAGAGAATGGGTGATGGAGAGAATCAGCAATATACACTTTGAATGAGGACAGTGATTATTTCAGTTGTGACCCTGCCTGGGAGGTTAGGAGAATTAAATCAGGGTCCTGTGCCCACTGCCAGCACAATGGGATGAGACATTACATGAACATGAGGTGAGGGGCAAGTGTCCCTCATGGAAATGTCCCTTTGGGGTGGGGCAAAAAGGGATGCTGCATTTCTCAGCTAGGCAGTAATCAATTTAATGGTCCTTTTAAAATGTCTGTGTATTAAAAATTTAGGAATACCACACTTTAATATTAAATATTCATGAGGTCTAGTATCTTGATAATAATGTAGATGTTTTAATAACGATTTTTGTCCTTCTTAAAATAAAATGAAAAACTTCTTTTAGCCTTTGTTCTGAAAATAAACATGCACTTTGACCTCTGTCCCCAAGGTGTTGTTCCTGTTCCTCTTGCCTGGCACTTGTGCCAGGGGCCTGGGCTTCTCTGGACTCATGAGGCACAGCTGGCTGGCTCTGCGCATGCCTCAAGGCAGACATTCCGAGGGGTGAGGGGCAGAAGATCTGTGTCCCTGTGTAAACAGGGAGACCCAGCTGACCCTGGCTCAGGCAGCACCTTGGCTGGCAGGGACAAGCTGTGCTCTGCGCAAGTGGCCCCAAGTAGCAACCCTCCACTGGCTCCTCTGCAGCCTGCCTGCTCACAGCCCTCTACATGCGGCTGTCCAGCAGTACCATGCATATTGCGGTAGGTCCCAAAGAGCTGGCTCTGTGCCCTTTCTGGGCATGGTTTTTTCAGAAACGTGAGGGGCCGTGCCATGCTTTGGAATATGATCCTTACTGCAACCCCAACTCTTCTGGGCCTAGGGGAGATCCAAGCCTCCTGGGCCCAGCTTTAAAATAAGAGAATACGTTAGATCAGGAATTCTCAGTCAGAGACACATGTATCTGCGGGGATGGGCGGTACTTTTTCAAATCCCGTGGATTGTGCGTGATTGCAGGTGATGAAGTGGGTGGGGGAGCCCTGATGGGAGGGGCTGCACATATTCAAGAGCAGGCTCTCACCACGCAGCTTCAAGCCGCAGTGTGGAGTAGCCCAGGAACAGAGGTCCAAGGCCTCTGGACTCTGAGGACAGGGAATCATTAGGGCCAAGTATGCAGTAGAGGCTCAGATGATGGGTAAGAGAAGAAACTGGCCTGAGTGAGCACCCTTTGTGTGCCAGGCTCTGTGAGTGCAGCACGTCTGTTCACCACAAGCCTGCCCATTTCATACCCACATCTTAGAGCCCAGGGAGGTTCAGTGAAGGTTCTAAGGACCTTTAGAAGGGAGGAAGGAAAAAGACTGAGAACCACTGGAAACTGGCTAATTGGCAAAGATCCCATCAGCCCTGACGTTCTGAAGTTCTCAGCCCCTCTGGCTCCACCATGAGAAAACAAAGTGGCATGGCAGGGGGCAGTTCCCGAGGGAAAGATGCAGGCCCATCCTTGGGCTGCACAGGTCATGAATGTGCATCAGGACCCCTCTCCCCCCGCCACCTTGACCTCAGAAAATCAGAGAGTAAGATAAACAGGACTTCAGTGAGCCTAATGGACTAAATTCTTAAATTCTCATTAATTCCCCTAAATTATTTTCTGGTCCTTGTTTAGCTGAGGGTGGTAGGCATTAACTGAGCACCCGTCTCATCTCAGATGACTTAAACATGACTTCCCTTCAATCCACAGTCTGTGGGTGAGACAGACCCACATGGTAAGATTATGTGATAGATGCAGTGCTGAGAGGTACCCCAGGTGCCAGGGAAGGCACCTCATCATCCAGGCTGGGTAGCCAGGAAGGACTTCCCGGAGGAGGTGAAACTAGAACTGAGGTGAGAAAAGATTGTGTCATTATAATCATTTACTGTTCTGCACTTTTTTTTTTTCTCTCAATTGTATTTCACGTGTGTCTCTGAGCCTGAATACATTTGTGGTGTATATGTAACCCGATATGTATGTAACCTAGATATTTACAGTCAGGGGCTGATACTTCATCCATTAAGGGGCCATAGCATTTTTGAGCAGCCCCCAGATATTGAACAAGGCCCATTTCTAGTCTTCAGTGCTGTCAGTAGGGGCTGCAGTGAGCATCCCCAGGGCGCCTCAGTTGGCTCCTCCTCCTTGCCTCTGGGAAAGTGCTCCTGAAGAGCGGCCACCTGGGTGACTGTCAGGGACCTACCTGCAGGCATAGGTGGCGGCGGATGCAGGTCTGCACCTCTCCACAGGAAGCCCTGAGAGCTCTGCCAGAAGCTGTCCACACATACCCCCAACCAGGGGAGTCATCTGTAGGGGCAGCAGACCTCTGAGCCAGGAAACCTAAGAAATGCAGGCGATCCCAACCTGCCTGCCACACAGCCTCCTCCAAATGTCCCCAGGCTTGTATGTGGCCTCCCTTGTCCCCATCTCTGTCCTCTGCAGCTGCAACTTGCTGATGTGGCCCCTGTGAGAGCACAGGTGAAGCTGCCAGCTGAACACCCTGGTTGCACAGTGGGGTGCCACGTGGACTGAGTGGCATGAAAATTCCCTAAGGGTAGGGACCTACCTAGCCAGCTTTATTTACCTTTGAATTCCTCCCAAGGTCTAGGCTGGTGGTGCCAGGTGTGCAGTAAGCACTCGTTCATGGTCTGAGAGGCCTCAGAACATTGAAAGAGGTCTGTAGAGAACTCAGGCATGAATCTCCAAGAATGAAATCGTCATGCAGCAGATAGGGATGTGCGAGACATGCAGGGTACTTCCTGTCACCTCTGAAAACATGCTCTGGGACTACCTACCCACGCCACTTTGGGGTAAGCCAGTCATGCACATGAGACGGTTCTCCGGCCAAGGAATGGTTAATGAGCCCCAAGGCCCCCCACACCCTCCCACCATAGTCGCAGAGTAAGGGGCACTGGAAGGATAAATAAGACACTAAGTTTGTTATGAGGAAGGGGAACAGAACCAGAGAGAAAAGGCACCTTAGAGGTCACAACAATCAGTAGTTTACGAACTGAGACCCAGACGCTTGTTTGAGATCGCACACCAGAGTGCAGCAGCCCTGGACAAGTCTGATGTTGGTCTCTGGTGGAGAGAGACCTGCAGAAAGAAGCACATGCTCAAGTGACCTCAGGACACAGAGACCATTGCCCTGGTGAGAAGGCTTGGGGGTGGGGGTAACAAGAGCAAACAGCCAATTGCCACCAAGTTCCCCAGGACAGGCTGGGAAGCAGGCCATCAACCAGGATAAGCCTGAGCTGGGTTTACAGGGCTGCCCCCTTCAGTGCGCCAGCTCCACCCCCATCCCTCCCAGAACTTATCCCCTAGGCTCCTGCCTCTTCTCTCCCTGGAAGACCAAAGAGAGCCCAGGCTGCAGGTCTTGTCACTTCCCTAAGGAAAGCAGGCTTCAGGCTCTGCAAATGGTATAAAGCCCCGATGATTCACACCACCTGGGCACCTGGGTGCCCTACAGGGCACGCCAGCAACAACACATGCCAACAACCCTTGGAGGCTCACAGGTGAATGTGTGAACCCCTTCATGGGCCTGTATGTGCCCACACAGAGTACATCCCCTGTGCCCAGCTGCCTGGGTGCCAGGATCCCAGGTCTCAGCCTGAGCCAGCTTCCGTGGTGGAGCCTGCTCTCTGCTGTGCCTGGCCTCCGGGTCTCCTCCACTGTGTGCAGTGCACGCCCAACGTAGGCATAGAGCCATCTCACTGTTCTCACCTGGCAGGCCCTGGTTATGGCTCTCAGCCAAGGGGAGAACTTGCCTTTGCAAAGTTAGATAACAGGCTGGTCTGTCAGAGGATTGGTGCGGTGCCTCCACGTGCTGCGGCTGGCGCAGGGCCAGGCCCGCCCTGCCAGGCAGCGGGAAGGAAAGGCCTGGCTGCAGCCGGAGCTGGCGGGTGGCCGAGCTGGGGGTGGACGGGTGGGCCGGGGCCTGTGCTGCCCATTGGCTGCCTAGGGCTCCCGCCCCGCCTGCCTCCAGAGCCTGCGGCTCCGCCAGCATCTGCCTCTCCAGCTGCTTCTAAACTCCCCAAGCAAGCGCCTCCTGCCGAGCCATGTCGAGCTGTGACCGGATTGGAGTGGCCCCTGCCATGGACATGCCCGAAGTCCTCAAGTCCCTGCTGGAGCACTCTCTGCCTTGGCCAGAGAAGAGGACAGGTAGGAACGGAGGTGGCCCGCCTTGGCTGGCTGCCCAGGTGCCCAAGGGGTGGGGGCAGCCACAGGCATGGTAGCAGGAGAGGTATCTCCAAGCTAGGGAGGGTCCCCAGCAGAGGTCTGCCCCTGGCCCCTTCCTGGGCAAAGAAGGGTGGGAGTGCCACTACAACCCAGGGGCTGCCTCCTGGGTCTGCCTTGGGAAGCCAGGTCCAGCGTGTGGCCACTGACAGGTGCTGTGCTCACATGGGACAAGGACAGGACCAGAGGGCCCTGCTGAGAGAATGCACTGGATGCTGACTGCTGATTAAATTCCCTCCCTCTGCGTATTGTGGGCAGAGGACTGGCAGAATCGGAGATTTGGGCAGTCTCTGGGGCTGGAGAGACTTCCCTCTGTGTGCCTGCTTCAGCCCCTGCTGGCTGGCTGGCTGAACCCACGGATGGGCTGGAGGCTGTTATGTAACAAGGCCACAGGCTCGAAGCCCTGGTTCCTAGGATACCACAGACAAACATGGGGCCAGGGGGCTGGCAGAGTAGGGCAGGGACCAAAGGGTAGTGCCTGCAGCCAGCACCAGGTGTCTCCTGACTACCTGAAAAACCAAGGCCACGGCCAGCTTTGGCGCCAGCCAGCTTAGGGTGCTCCTTACTGATAAATATTTTCCCAAATTAGTCCTGTTCTAAGACATCAGGGCTCCCACCCAGGGCCCCACTGCTCGGACTCCACAAGTGCCTTGACAGGAGGCCAGCTGTCCCTCGGCTGCCTGAGTCTGACTTGAGCGCGCGGGCGTTCCCTCAGGCATCTTTCTGAGGCCTCTCCCCCTTCCTGCTGAGCCAGCATCTGACCGATGGATCCCATCTCAGCACCCTGGCTGTGCCCTCCGGACTTCCTTCCTCTGGACTCCCAGCCCACTCCCAAACTCTAGGGCCTGAGGGCAGACACCACAGCCCCTGCCCTCTTTCTCATCCCGTGGGGAGCCAGGCTCCGGAGAAGAGGGGCAGCAGGCTCTGCTCATGGGCACCCCCCAGGCGCGGGGGCCCCAAGCACTCAGGGTGGGTTCTCTGTGGGCTCTCCCATCGAGCCCTGCGGTTCTGCGGCAGCGCAGGCCACTGTCAGAGGCGGGCATCTTAGGAGTTCCTGCTCTCTGGTGCTCAGAACCCCAGCTGCCCACCAGGAGAAGCCCCTCTCCTCGGGAGACCCTCCGCTCAGTCTGGCAGGTGAGCCACAGCTGACTTGTTCTTGCCATCTCCAAATGGACCGTGGGGGTAGG